ATATATTTCTAAAGTTTGAATTCTGTATCTTTTTCTTCTTCATCATTCCCTGAGCAAGTACTAATAAATAAGTATAAGATAGCAACCACTGGTGTATAACCTAAAATGTTAGTATGCAAAATGAACTTGGAGACAAATTACTTTTCATTCAGAACTCATATTATACTGCCAAGATCTATTTAATAAACAATAAAAGTAAAACGTGAAATGACAACGCATTATTCAATAGTGAATCATTAAATATCTTGAGGCCAGGGAGATAGTTCAGTGCTATAAGCACCTGTCAGCCAAACCCAAGGACCTGGGTTTGATCCCCTGGACCATATGCTGTGCTTGCTCCACTTGGGGCCCACCAACCATGCCTGCCTTTGAAACCCAGCAATGTAATCCCAGAGCTGGAGAGGCTGAAACAGGGGGATCGCTATGAGTCTGAGATCCATAGCAAGACCCTATACCAAATACATAATTTTATTTTTCAAAAAAGTGAATCATTAAATATCTCTTGTGGAAGGTTAAATTTAACCTGAATTCTATGTGATATTGAACCAGTAATGTAAGAATGAGGGGAAAAAGTTACCAGGTACTACCATTCATGAAAAGGCCTTACTTAAATTGTTAAATTCAAGACAAATGCACATGAATGGTGTAAAGTAGAAAGAAAGGTACTTGTTGAGACCAGACAGAAAATTGCCTAGGGACTAATATACTGCCTTCATTGGGCAAAAGAAAGATTTTAAGTTTTGTTTTAAAGAAAAAGCATATAGAACACTTTATAAAGATTCATTAGGTATTCCATGAAAAGTGTATCCCTGGATATTTGTTATTCAATTTTTTTTAATCAAGGAAACCAAGTAAAAGGATCTTGAAATACTACTAAATGAAAAAAACTATGTTTTTCTGTCCCAAGTCAATAGTTTTACAGGATTGTAAAAGAGGTCATCTTCTAGACAAAGTTAAGTCAGTGTCAACATTATGTTGATTCATTTCATTTTTTAACAAAAAAGACAAAGAATTTAAAAAGAGCTTGCATGTTTTGTATTAACTTGTGGCATCGTTGTAATCACTAATAGAACAACCTTGTGGATGCAAGATCTGTTTATTTTTATTTAAGTCTACCCGTGTTTAAATTTGTCCCTGAGCACTTCTGTTTATAAATCCTGCTGAGTTTAATTAACCTGAAAGAATTGGGAAAATGAAAACATGTGGTTATTCTCCTGTTTATCATTGATCAAACAATTTAGGTAATTTCTTCTGCCTTTGGAGAACACTTTCAAACTCTTTCAAAATGTATCACCCAAGTATGAAGTGATGTGAAATTGTTTGTGAGGAATACAGTTGATTCGAATACCTGGATTGACATTGCCTCCTAAACATGGTTCTAAGCTTTCAGAGAACAGCGACTTCATGCCAGAAGTTGAAAGACTAGGTCCATTTAATACAAAACATACTAACTAAAGACAGTAATGTTGTGTGTTTTATTTTCTTTAATTAAATAAGTGTATTGCCAAAGTTATTACCCATTTTTAAGGAAACTGAGGCATATGATAAAACATTGAGAAACAATGTTAGAGAATAACGTGTAATAAAAAGGAGGTTGCAGCATTTATGTAAGATTCTACAAGACATGATACTGTATTTCTTAAAGGTTTTAGCAGTCTTTTGCCTGATGTTTAAAAACTTAGTTTAACAATAGCAAATATTTTATATGATTAAAATATTGTCCTTTAACTTCTGTTTTCCCTATAATTAATTTTCAAATATTTATTGAAGATATACAAAGCATAGTAAAATATTATATAAGCCCCGTGAATACTATTTCTGCAGAATGCAGACTCAGTTTCTTCCACCAGTGATTTTTGGTCTTGCAACAAAAATGCATGTTGATTTCAGAATTCAATGAATAAATATAGTATTTCCTGTATAATTTTTGCAAAACAGAAATAATTAACTTTTTCAGGTTTGAGCAAACCATGAAGGAACTAAAATGTAATGGTTTAGTAGAAGTTAACCAGTTGAATTGTATGTGTGTATATTTGTGTGGTGTGTATGTATGTGTACATATCTACAAAAATGATGATGAAATAGACTGGGTGAAAAGCTTTGGTATAAGAGGAGTAAGACCTTAATCAAGAAACAAATATA